CAAAAGGACATTTCTGTAAAATAACATGAGTTTATACATTTAAAAGATTATAATTAATAGAGCAAATCATTTTACCTGCAGTTCTCTTTTTAAACAATAATTAATATAATTTTATACTTTATAATAGACTGAGATAGGTGACTATAGAAATTGAATAAATAAGTTTTATTTAAGACTATAATAGGCCACAAGGAGAAATTAAATGAAATTTATTTTGAAGTTGCTTGCAATGGAAAGCTTATTTTTCATTTTCGAAGCAGAATACCAAAAAAATACAGAATTTAATGTATAAAATAATTGTCATGATTTGGACATTACAGCAACCATAATTGGGGAGAGCAAAGAAGCAAGAATTAAAAACTCAAATTCTACAACAAAACAAAAAATTACAATACATCTTCTTCAAAAAGCAGGAATCTATATTGAATAGCAATTCCACTTTTCAGCCCAAACTGATCCACACATAGCGCCAAACTTTATTGGAGTTTGGCTTAGCGTATTGTTTCTCACTGAGGTACTTATCGTTTTGTAAATCATGTTTTATTGCAGGGCTGTCAAACTCCACAGAGCGGCTGCATCACACGCTGGCTACACACACGTCTGGTTTAGCAAAGGGGGAAAAAGTCCTGATACGTCACATGACGCCATCGTGACGCCGTGAATTTGACACCCCTGTCTTATTGGTTCAATACAATATATAATGAATAGTGGCCAATTTAGTAAATCATTGTTGTTTGGCAAGTTGTGTGAACACATGCTAATTTACATGATACATTTACATGATACATAGCTTACTGTTAACATTAAAAATGCTTACAGATTATTCTTAATTTATAACCAATTGCTTAGCAATCATTCAAATTTACAATGTCTCCTCAAAAGCTACTTTTGATTCCATTTTGAAGTTACGACAACTTCACCAAGTTAGTTACATGATTCTATTTTGAAATTTGGCAACTGGTTCACCTTTACCACTCTTTGCAGCACTGTGAGCATGATTTTTGACAATTTTTTTTTATTTCAGGTGTTTACTTCTGGTTTCCAGCCCCTCCCTCAAAAGCCCATTGGGTAAAAGCAGTTCACTTAACAACCATGGAATTTGCTTAACCACCACAAAAAGGTCATAAAATAAGGTCCAGTCATGTGGTGACCTGCTTAACAACTGTACTTTTGGGCTCATTATGGTCGTAAGTTGAGGACTACCTATATTTAATAAATAAATAGTGTGTGTCAATGCTGTGGTTTACTATGAAAATAACCCACAAAAAGAAACCACTTCTTTTTGAGTGAACTCCCAGTTAATAGTCAAGGTGGCTGGCTAGCTGATATTTCTGGTTATTTAATTTTGTATTATCATTATTATAACATTTGACAACAATAAGTTTAAAGTGGACCGCCAAGCATAGAGTGAAAAAAAGACAGCTGCTTTGGTTTCAGAATTAAGATCTTCTGTACCCACATAAAAGGTAAAAAAACAAAAACAAAAGTGCAACTGTAGAAACTGCTCTTCATTTAACTTCATTTCCCTGGAAAGCTAATGACTGCTTATTAAAAGTACTTTACTATTTAATCCTAACCCACAGCTACTTAATCAAGGACAAATCAATCAATTTTCCTAATTGTTAAATCACCTGTTACCTATCCACAAATGTAAAAGAGCACAATGTAACATCAAACTGTGGTTTACATTTATGCAGAATGCAAGCCTTTCACCAGTCTTTTGAACGTCTGGGAGGAGCAAAGAAGCAGCACAAAAAATAAGACCTCTTATCCAATAATGGGGGAAAAATACTTGGAACTGTCCTGTTTGAAAGATATAGAGGTATTTTTCAATTAAATGATCCATACCTTAATACAAATACCGCAACCAATACATAATGTTTCAGAAATCCATGCTATTTTGCATTGTGATGTTACTTCTATGCACAATTTTCCTGAATAAAAAAAAATAAAAAGAACAAAAATTATTCAGAGCAGTATTAGCTCTGGCCAGAATAATGTTTTGTAAATGGTCTCAAATAATCTTGAATGTAAGTACCTTAGGCACATATTTCTTAACTTTAAAATAAAAATTAGTAAACATACTAGGATACACATCAGATATTTACAAATATAACTTTATAGTTGAAAAATATGATTTTAAATGTTTTTTCCCTGTTCTGATTTTACATTTAAAAAAAAAAGTTATAAGTGACCTTGCATTTCTTACCCATTCGAACCACAGGGCAACTCTTCTTGCATTCCTGGCGACATTTCTTTGGCTTACATTTATCGTGGTTCACAATAGCAATTCTTGTTAGTTTATCAGCCATAGTAAGGATTTACAGATTATTCACATATAATAAGTAAGGATTCCAAAATGATGATTCTAGAATAAAAGAACAAACAGAGATAAATATCCAGGAAACACTGAAGAACAGCAGATATCAATGATAGTGAAGTCGAAGAACAAGCATGCTTGGTAGAAGGGAGGTATTTCATCTCAGTCTTGCATTGATTTTTGTGGGTAAAGCCAAAATCAGTCTTAATCCTTCCATGCCAGTGCCTTTTGTGGTAAACTACTTAAAACCAAACTCTGCAGAATACAAATCTGATTCCTTATCAACAACACAAGCAATATATGGACAAGCAATGTAAGAGGCTTTTTTTAAAAACAAAAACAAAACTTCAGTTCTTAAACTGTGACTTTCAATAGCTTATGTCCTGACTGCTTAAAGCTGAAAAGTACCTCTTATCCACATTTTTTTTTCTCATATCACTAAATGTGACAGATTCGGAATGAGATCTGTAGTCGTATTAGCTTTTATAGAGAAAGTAAACATAATATACACAATAAAAAGGGGAAAAAAGGCAGTCATGATTTCATTGCTGCATTCCAAGTATAGGATTTAATTAAATAATTAAAGATTTTTGTAAAACTTTCATAAAACATAAAATTCTGGAGCCTTGATGTTCTCTGAATTTCATTATATTTCATTATCCAATTAGATGACATCATCAGTGTACTCTAGGTTATTCTCTGGTAATCTAGTTGCACTAATATTATCTTTTTGGATGATGAAATGTCTTCAAGCAAACTGAGCTCAGAGAGCAACAGGGACTGTACAGTTCAAGCCTGAAATTACATAAAACTCAAAACTTTATTTACTCATTTGCTGAATTTATAGGCCACTTTTCTGCAAAAATATGGTGCTCAAACAGCACTTAAATGTATCCAATATCAAAGTCTAAATCAAAAACAAACTCGTACTATTTGATCAAGTAAGTATAATTTTCCTAATTGTTAAATCACCTGTTACCTATCCACAAATGAACTGCAGACTGTGTATATGCTTCTAATAGCCCAGTTGAACTTTACATTTTTCATCACAGTACATGGAACTTTAATAATACAATAATTTTACTGATATTTTTAAGTCAGTTTTTTACCCTTTGTAGATAATCAATGGACTGTAACACTAAGTAACAATGGTATTAAGCGAAGTACCGAGCACTGCTTTGTATTTGAAAGGAAAACAGAGCTTCAGAGCACTTACAGAGTATCTGCATAAAGGAACATAAACTTTTTTTGGGTTCATGTGGCCACTATTTGCAGCTGTGGCACAATCTCAAAAAAACAAAAACAAAACTTGAATGTGTTTAAGTAGCTCCTGTCAGGAGGTGCTATCTTACATTACATACACCCAAACTCCAAAGCAGTTTTTCTCTAAAAATTCAAATGTTGCTGAATCCCAATTGACATTATCTCCAGACAGCCAAAATTTTATTTTTTATCTCATTCTTTCCATCCATATTAAACTACTGAAAATGTGGGAAGCATTCACATACAACAGTTTACATCCATGTTGTAGATGGTTAGCACAATACAAGATTCATACAGCAGTTTTGTAATGGTGACTCAGTTAATCTAAGAAAAAATATTTAAATATCCAGGGATTATATTACCAACAATTATCTCTGCTACCTAAATAACACTGACAACTATGCTGTGTTTTATCGCATTTCTAATATAAACGCTCCAAATTATCCAGTGAACAAACGTAAGTTTAATATTTGCCATGATCATCTTTTTTATAGCAACAAACCATACTTATTTTTTACTTCACTGATATAACATGGGTTCCAGCAAAGGAGACATTTAAAGCTTAAACAAATATCTAAAAGCAGAGGTAAAAATAGCCATCTTGACGGTCAAATCAAAAGGGTTTCATAGGGATCAGAAGAGTCAACAGATAAGTGGAAAAAAAGGACATTTTCTAAGCACTGTGCCACAGCTGGAGGCGGGGGGGGGGGGGGCAGGGAAAACCTTCTGATTAAAAGTATCTTAAATCAAGCCGGTTCTTGGAAAAGAGCGTCGTCGAAAATAAATTCAACCGAGAGGCTTTTGCGGCCGTCCTTTTTTTCCTTGCCCAACTGGGGTGAAGATCAAGGGCTGGAAGGGACGACCCGGGCCCCGTTACATCGAGCCACTCAGAAAGCGGAATAGACATGTTAAGGGCTAAGAAAGAGACGAAGAAGGGCTGTCAATGGAACCGCGGCGGTACCAATTAGGGATTGTTCGGGCTTCTCACCGGCTAGGCTGCCTCTCTTTCACCGCGACGGGAAAGAAGCCTCGAGGCAGCTGGACAGCCGCGGCCCAGCCAGCCTCAGCGACAGCCACCAAACCAACTCCACCTGATTGGAGAAGGAGCAGACCGGGCCCAACTACCGCTAGTTCCACTTACCAGGAAAAAAAATTAAGAGGCGGGAAAAACGAGAAGGGTGGGCTACGAATGAAAAAATTCCCCAGGCCTCCGTGGCTCGCAGGTGGACGCGGAGACAATGTGCCCCGACTGCCACCCGTTCAAAATGGCCGCCACCCTTAAAGGAGGAGCCGGCGGCTCACACCGTAGACATGGAAGTCTGTGATGAGGTAAGTACAGCGACATAGACAAGACGGAACGCCGGAAGTGCAAACGTGAGAGTCTCTCTCTCTCTCTCTCTCTCTCTCTCTCTGTGACATCATCACTTGGCGACGGACTGTCTGGAAACTCAATGGTCTCGGAGAAGAAAAGGAGTCAGGCGATCAGTAAACGGAGAGGGGAAGGGCGTGGCCAGAAAGTAGGTAGCGCTGTTACCTTAGCGGGGCGAGTAAGTAAGTCTTTTACCGCGTGCTAACTATTGGACGTTAGAGAGCAGGGGTCTCCAACCCTGAAGTCCTCCCGACTTAAAGTGGCCAAGGTTGGAGACCCCTGCGTTAGAGAGCGTTGAGTCACGATCTTCGTTTTGGCTTGCTGTTAACAGGCGTTCGTTTGTTTCACACCATATATAACTATTGATTATGATTTCAAGGGGTCTCTGAAATGGCCCTCGGTATTATTCTTATTTTTTTAAAGAAAGTATTAAAAAGCTTAGAATGAAGAAAAAAAAGCGTACACTTCCATGTTGGAGAAAGCTGCTGTATAGAACGTAGGCTATTCCGCACCTGAGCGGACTATCCTTGATGCTTTGACTGAAGTGACAAGCAACATTAGGAGAAGGAAGGTAAAATAGGTTAGGGTAGAAGGCTCAGTTGTAGTTTTGCTATATGCGTGCTTTTCTCTCTCTCTACTTGGCCTGTACTATCGTAGTATTCATATGGATGTCTATGGAGATTCTCAGTCATCCAGGTCATGGCTGTCCCAAATATGTTTTTTCAAGAGGCAACAACTCCTAAATGGCCAGCTGTCTGCAGGGAGTGTAAATCCTTCCATTTCCCACCATCCATCAGAGCTGAAGAAGCTTGCATGAGAAGCGAAACATCTTCAAAGAAAAACCAGAAAATCCAGTTGCCTCTTGAAAAAGCACCTTTGGGATATTCATATGGATTTGTGAACACGGGTGAAGAGCGAGCAACATAAATAAGGTGTCTTAAATATATAATGTATCTATATGAAGATTATCAGTCATTCATGTAGAGTTGTCTGGAAGTTGAGTCATGGTAAATGGACTTTTTTTCTTTTGGTCTTGAAATGTTTTGCTGCTTATTCAAGTAGCTTCTTTAGGTGTGTGTGTGTATATACACATACACATATATATATTTATATATATATACACATGTATGTATATAAATAAATGTGGGTTTTTAGAAATTATACAGAGGGAACATAGAAATTGTGGCCGTGAAAGTAAGGAAGCAGAGTAAGAAATAAGGTAAGAAAGCAGAATAAGAAATAAAAGAAGATTGTATTTGAACTTATTTGAAAACAGGCATTTTAAAAAATGTTTCTGTCCCATGATTTGCAATAGCTCCTGTCATAAACGGGTCATATTTTAATTTCAGGTATAAATGTAATCTGTTTAAGCCATGGGGCCGGTTCATTCTTAGCGATCAAATTCTACCATTATCTTAGCAGGAAAATTGTTTGAACAATGGTTATGCTTCAAGATAGTGATTTTATGGGGATTATTATGCCTCTTATCATATACAACATCTCAAATGTACTTGAAATAGGGAAGCCAAATTTTCTTTTAAGGTTAAATCTCACTTGACTAGGATAAATAATTTAGATATTAGATATCCCAAAGTATCTTCAGTCAAATTATGGAAACACATCCACATTAGATGTGATTTTAAATAACTGCATTAAAATACATTAATTAGAATTTGGATATTCTGTAGATTTTTGCCAACCTTGGGCATATTCAAGTTCTGGACCTCAGAGAAAGCATGGTGCTTCAATTGCTCTTTGTACTTCGCTCTTTGAATCTGATACTTAAAAGTATGCAAAGAAGTGCTTTGCAGCACCTGGGAGGATGTAGAAGCTCTATTTTCTAACTTGTAAATCTGTTGTGTTAATTGTATAACTATTTGTTTTATTGGGTGAAAAAGTAAAATTTCAGTGTATATGTAGACAACTTGGGAATAGCTACTGAAGTAGCTGCATAAGCCTTGCAAATGATGCATATAGTTATTGACTGGTCTAAGTTGAGATTTCTGGGTAATTTCCCCCCCAAACACTGTCTAGATCTATTCTAGTCTATATACTACCCTAGGATTAAGACAGAAACACTTATGATCATTATGACTTGTACTAGTTACTAGATGGTAGAACTATTCAGTAACTGTTCCTTGAATTTGTCCTTATAGTGACTCTTGATAACATGGAACATGATATTCTCCCGTTTTCCTTCTTTTCTTTTCTTTTTTTTGTAACTTTTATTTGAGTTTTCACAAAAAAAATACAAATAAAACATCTTTTTTGAAAGTAGCGTAATCCCGGGTTACATTTCTTCGTACAGACACAAATTCAATTTCATGCGCATTTTTATGTTCTATTCCATATCTTATTCCTGTTTTACATTTTCTGCATACTTCTCCCCTCTTTTAATTTTCTCAATTTCATTTTAATTATCTCATCTCAATTCAAATCATTATATTTATATTTTTTGTCTGTCCTGTTTCAATTATCTATTATCTTTTCTCATTAAACAAAGTTTCTCCTGTAGTTACTGATTGGAGTATGACGCCTTTATATCTTTTAAGTTTATCCATTTAACTCTTATATTTAGGCTTCAATATATACCCTAAAGTTATAACATTCAATATAATACATAACTTCAATTCGGATTCTGCTTGGTACATTCTTAAAATACACACTATATTCTAAAAAAAAGAAAAAATTATAAATATATGTAATTAAAACAACACATTCCATTCCAATTCAATTCTATCATTAATGTTAATATTCATTAAAATCTTAACTTCTTTAACATTACTTTTCAATTAAATATCATACTTCTATGGGAACAATTATAAGCTTTCCATAATTAATCCCCCCCCTTCACTTATATTTTATAAAACATTAACTAATTAAAATGTTCCCGTCCCTTCCAAATTCAATTTTCTCATTTATTTTATTTCACTTATTTTATTAACAAACATTTCACTAAATTACATTATTTTATCCCTCATTTTAATCATACATTGTTTCCAATTTTCTAAAGTTATTTCTATTACTAATATAACAATACAATCTTATGTACCTTTACAGAATCCCTTTTTCAGTTAAATTTTCACCCATTATCTCTAAATAGGTCCTGTTTCTCTATATCTTGTTCCGGTCCTTTGTAACTGCTTTTCCTTTCCTTCTTCCCTCTCTTCTTCTCTCTCCCCTTTTTACCCCCTTGTCTCTCTACCTCTATTTCTCTCTTCTGTATTCCCCTCTTCTGTTGCTTTCCAGTATTATACTTATTTTTCGAATTATTTTTCTTTTCTTTGTTTTTTTAAGTCTTAAATTCTCCATTCTCTTTCCCCCCTTTCCTTTTTCTTCCCCACATAGAATTACTTGTTCATTAAAGATGGCTTCTTCTTTGTCCCAGTCTTCTTGTTTTGCAGACGTTTCTTGTTGTTTCTCATAGCTCCAAATCTCCATTTCTAAGATTTCTAAAAATCTCCATTTCCTTCACTGCTTCCGACTCTTCTTTGGGAGCAATGTTGTTTTTTTGTAAATTTAAATTCCAGAGTACCTTAGTTGTTACTTTTGCAATTTAATCCGGTCAGCCAAAACTTTCACTTCTTATCTTCCTCCTGCACATTTCTTTTCCGGTCGAGTTCTTCTTTGAGGTGGCCATTTCTGACCACCGCTGCAACCGCCTTCGGGAAAGGGAGTAATGGCCAGCTGAGGAGGAGAGATGCGGCTCTCCTCAACCCTGCTGGCAGTCTCCCCCCTCTTCACCACCTCTACAGAGTGGCTTAGCTCCAAAACCAGCCGGCTCGGGGTGCTCCAGCGGCGAGCCCAGACCGAAACCGTGCACGATCGCGAATTTCTGTCTGTTGCCGAAGGAACTCAAACCGGAAGGGCCTGTTTTCCTTCTTTAGCCTCAGTATTACATCTAAACTTTTGAGAAAGTTTTCAAAAGCAATATTCTTATGTTATTTCTATTCTGCCACATAATTTTAGCTTACCCTTATTTTTTATACTGTATAAAATATATCTGCCACAATCTGTCTTCAGGAGACACTATCCAGAGTTTGGACATTATTGTCTTCAAATTCTCAGGTCTCCCTGCAGTTTTACAAAAAGACTGTGGACCTCTTGAACAAATCTAGGAGAAATAGCTCTCTGGAAGGAAGCTGATCTAAATAATGTTGTACAATTGTCAGATGAGATGGTATTTTCCCTGTAGAACTAAATACAAAACTTGATGATACTGTTTCTTTATTTTCAGGGAAAAATAGGTAGTAATAGAAAAATAGAGTAGAATATTCTTTATTGGCCAAGTGTGATTGGACACACAAGGAATTCGTGTCTGGTGCATAAGCTGCCAGTGTACATACAAGTAACAAAAGTAATAACTCATAGACCATAAATTATAGTTACAATCATAAATCATAAGATACAAACAATGTTGCCTTTGTTGCTTTTTCTAGGGTAATTGGATCTGAGCTATGCTTTGTACTATTCCAAAACACATTTTGGTTGTTTACATCAGGGGGTCTCCAACCTTGGCAACTTTAAGCCTGGCGGATTTCAACTCCCAGAATTCTCCAGCCAGCTTGGCTTTTGGGAGTTAAAGTTGCCAAGGTTGGAGACCCCTGGTTTACATAATGACTGTCCCTGATTGTGGCCTGGTAGCTTCAGTTGATGTAAATGCAGCTATCCAGATGCTAATTTAGCTAACATCTGAAGTTATTGCAGTTTTGTGTCAGTTGCATATGGTTACAAGCATACAGGTAGTCCTCCACTTACAACAGATTACTTAGTGGGCGTTCAAGGTTACAACAGCACTGAAAAAAGTGACTTTCAACCTTTTTTCACAGTTATGACCATTGTAGCATTCCCATGGTCATGCGATTTACATCCGGATGCTTGACAATTGACTCACATTTATGACTGTTGCAGTGTCCCATGGTCATATGACCACCTTTTGCAAACTTCTGACAAGCAGTCAATGGGGAAGCCAGATTCACTGATTTGCTTAACAAATATGGAAAAGAAAAGTTGTAAAAATGGGGCAAAACTCACTTAACAAATTTCTCACTTAGCAACATAAATTTTGAGCTCAATTGAGGTCATAAGTTGAGAACTACCTGTATTTTGGGGAACCAATTCCATGCTACTCTGAACCTTTAAATTGAACCCTTAATGGCATTTCTTAAAGGACTTCATGCGTAACATGTTGATCCTGCACCAAGAACTCCCTTGGGGCTCTTCGTTAAGATCAAGAGTCCCCAAACTTGGCAACTTTAACACGTGTGGACGACAACTCCCAGAATAGCTGGCTGGAGAATTCTGGGAGTTGAAGTCCACAGGTCTTAAAGTTGCCAAGTTTGGAGGCCTCTGGTTAAGATCAATAATGTTGGATTATAGTAGGAATAAGGTACATTATTCTAGTAGAGACTCCAGTTTTTTGGAATACCAAATCAAGCTTTGTCCTGCCATTTTATGTATGGCATTTAGTTAGAACTTGGACAATTTTCTATTTAAGGCTGTCTTTGATAGATTTCATCTGCTATCATAGTGGCTTTAACTATTTGGTAACTGATTTTTCACTTATAAAAAGATTATTTTCAGCAAGTATAAATAAATCAGAATGTAACAAACTTGTAAACAATGATCTATATACACAGAAATCTAATTACAAATTTCTGCGTTATTTCTATAATACATCTAAGTGATGAACTGATTGTGACTTTCTAAATATTTGTTTTCTAATCCTGTGTCTAGGGAAATTTTCTTTTTAATGTCATAGGAAGATTCTTAATAATAAAGGACCATATTATTAAAATGGAAAATGGCTTTCCAAAAGAAAATTAACACGTGGCCACAAACCACAAATTCTTGACATTTTAAATAATATAAAAACAGTTTGGAAACAAGATCTAACACACTGGAAACTGTTCTTGCTATTAATACGTTTGAAATCACTCCAGTAGCTGTAATTAATCCACTTTAAAGGTCTTTCTGAATTTTCCCATTGTGTAATTATCTTATAAATCATTCCTGTTAATTTTTATTACTATTACAGCTAACACTCTGAAGAATAATTTTATTCTTTTATTTTTAAGTTAAAGATGAATATCAGCAAAAATATGATATGATTTCAGCAAAAATTGTCTTGTGATGTTTAATGAATGGATGACTCCTTTATTCTATAACTTTTAGTTAAATTCATCATTGATTATTTTCAAGTATAAAATAAATCGGTTGACTCATCAATTATATAAGAAAAATAGGCATTTTTTATATTTTGGTTTTTTCAAGGACTTCTGGATGGACTATGCTGATTATTCATTTTAGCCTTGCAATGGCTTTGATCTAAGACAGGGGTCTCCAACCTTGGCAACTTTAACACTTGTGGACTTCAACTCCCAGAATTCCTAGGAGTTGAAGTCCACAAGTCTTAAAGTTGCCAAGGTAGACCCCTGATCTAAGAGACTGTCCCATTGTTGAGTTTTACCTAAGGGAAAATAAAAAGTCACATCTCCTGTTCTAGGTCCTACTTTATGTTCCTTTTACATTGATGTTTCTCAACTAATGGGAAAAATAAAATCGGGGGGTTTGGATAAAGGATAGAATTTGGGTGGTGATTTCCCTCATTTGTTATTCTGTGAGTTATTTAATCTCCAGTAAAATCCCCAAAGTAATAATTTGGGACTACAGAGGACTATAGATAAGTCAATAAATAGTACAGCCACATCCCATCCAGCTCTGTTTAATGGATTTAGACCTTTTCTTGGTTAGCTTATGCAAGAATTTATTATAAGCATGATTAACCTCAATCCTTTTTTCCACTCTTATATTTTGTTTTAAATTTAAAATTCCTAAACATACTCTCGTTCTTGTTTTTATTAACCAAAAAATATGTTTCTATTCTTAGTCTAAAGCAATTATAAGCCATTAGGTCCATAAAATGTGAAACACTGGAAAAAATGAGGGAGGAGGAAGGTCACCTAAAATATTTCAACCAAAGATTGCTACATTTGTGGCAGACCTTTTAAACATTTTCCTTTCTGTTCCTATTGTCATGAATGTGGAATATTTTAAATTATACTTTTAATTTTTTTTTTCCTAGTGAGAAATGACCACTGCTAACAAGACTCCCCCTGGTGCAGATCCAAAACAGTTGGAAAGGACAGGAACTGTTCGAGAAATAGGTTCACAGGCTGTTTGGTCTCTTTCATCTTGTAAACCGGGTAAACTGCAGAAGCATCTTGTTTATAAACAGGCCAGAAACTCCCTTTAAAAGTAGAAAGTAACGTTTGAATTTAATTTAAATTAGATATTACAATCAAACTTAAGTGTTTTAGGCATTTGGGTGTCCAAGAAAATAGTTCAGGAATATAGAATATGCACTGCTACTTTTTACTAGCAAGAGCTTTTTAGATTACCATTGGACAACCCTTGGGTCATCATTTCAGAGACATTTCCTTACCAGATTCCTCAATGCCTTAAACCAGGGGTGTCAAACTCATGTCACAGCGGCATCATGTGACGTATCGAGACTTCCCCCCCTCCGCTAAACCGGGCATGGGTGTGGCCAGCGCATGACGCATCCAGCCCAGGGGCCAGGAGTTTGACAGTCCTGTCTTAAACAATGGCAGAGCTAACATAGTGGAAAAATTCTTACAAATTCAATGTGATGTTAAAAGATGTATCTGCCTTGAAAGTAGCCCATGTTGAACTGTATAAGACATTCAAACCTTAGGAGTTGACAATAGGAAATGTTTTATAAATGTTTACATCATATAATGTTTTAATAAATTTGCCAAATTTCAGTTCCTTGTGGGTCATGGGCCCCGGATTTTGAACCAATTCTTTTAGTTAGTCCATTTAAAGTGCATTGGTTATACATTTGGCCATATGATGCACCATTCCACCCAGCTAAAGATCACAGACATAGGAGTTTTAGTAGCATATAAGTAGATAGATGCTCTCAGTGTTTTAGTATTTCCTATGCTTCCAAATATAACAGGTTGTAAGCATCCTAGGACGGATTATAAAACTGTTAGTTTTGTTACATTGATTGCCTAAGGAGGCTATGCTGAAGACTCTGTTTGCTTCTGTATATTCAAAATAGGCTTTGGGGTGGATCAGTTACGAGATGATAATCTAGAAACATACTGGCAATCTGATGGATCACAGCCTCATTTGGTCAACATCCAATTCAGGTAGTGAATATTTATGCACCAATTTTTCATTGTTATGCATTTAGCATTTTTAAAAAATCTCTTATACAATTTACACACACACACACACACACACACACACACACAATGATCCATGACTCATTCAGTCATCATTTAAGAGATTTCTTCTACCAGATTCCTCAATGCTTTCAATGACAGAACTACTAATGTTCACTGGAAATGTTGGGATGTATTCAGAGAAGTATTGCCCTATGACCATAGGTAGTCCTTGATGTACAGCCACAATTGAGCCCAACATGTCTGTTGCTAAGCAAGGTAGTTGTTAACTGAGTTAAGCCCCATTTAAGTTCTTTTTTTTGCCATAGTTTTTATGTGACACACTTCAGTTGTTAAGTGAATTGTGGTTGTTGGGTTCTCCCATTGACTTTGCTTAGCAGCAGCTGGCTGGGTAGGTCTCAAATGGTGATCACATGACCCCAAGACAGTGCAACCATCATAAACTAATGGCAGTTGCCAAGTGCCTGAATTTTGATCACATGACCCTGGAAATGCTGCAACGGTTGTAAAGGTGACAACTGGTCATAAGTCATTTTTTTCAGTGCAGTTGTAACTTTGAATGGTCACTAAACAAATGGTTGTAAGTCGAGGACTACCTGTATCACAGAAATGATATAATTTCCTTCAGTTACATCACCAGGATAATATTATCTTCAGTTTATTGGACTTTTATGAATATGGCACACCTCTTCACAAAGTCATTCAGTTAAGTGAGATTACTGCAGTTAAATGTACAGTACTGTTTATCCAAAAAGTATTGTGAGGTAAATCTAACTTTTTTTAAAAATTCTGTGAACGTGTACAAGAAGCCTTCTGAAAACTGAATTGATTCAAAATAATATTATGAGAAACATAGTTTAATTGCCTGAAAAATAGATTTAAATATTTTAAAATTAAGATTATTGCTTAACCCTAGCTTTTCAAGGGTAAGAGGGCTAGAGTTATAGTGGGGAAATACTGTACATATTAATCCATCTTCCTTGATAAATAAAAACAGAAAATATGCCTTGATTTGTGTAATCACGGCATGTAAAAATACTAACTTTTGAAAATAAGAATAATTATACATTTGCTTTTATACTACTCTAGCTTTAAAAATTATAATTTAGATATGTATTTTAATAATTTAACTTTAATTCATGGCCACAAAATCTCAGGTATTTCAGCACAGATTATTCTTTCACTGTTGTAACTTAATATTGTATTTTTATCCATTCACTTTTGATATGCAAAAAAGGCCTAGCTTATTGTTTATACATTACTTTAGAATGAAATAAAAGTTGAAAGATATGAATTACCTAAATTATATTTTTAAAAACTTAAAATTACAAATATTTGGTTAATGTTACTAATCTTGAATACTAAGATAAATAAATAAAATTGCTTAGAATTTGAACCTTGGGTTAATTAATGAATCCAAGGAACCTTAGATACAGTAATGTATATAAAGCTACATTTCAGATAGGAAAAAATAGAATTCTTTCCAGTATTTATTTGTTTTGGAGTTAACCTACCATTCAAACAAGTTGCAATATTTCCAAAGAATGGTATTATTTTACTAAACCTTACTTAACCATCATACATTTTTATCATCTAATCTTGATTTTGCAATTGTTTGATTCCAGAAGAAAAACTACTGTGAAGACATTATGCATTTATGCAGATTATAAATCTGATGAAAGTTACACTCCAAGCAAAATCTCTGTGAGAGTAGGGAACAATTTTCACAATCTTCAGGAAATTCGGGTTGGTATGCTTTACTCCTTAAAAACATTTTAAAGATAAGTCCTTCCAAAAGATCTGTGCTTATATATTCACAGACCAATATTTGGAAAGTAAAAAATAAATAAATACATTGGATACAGTCCAGTTAATTGAACTCCTTGGCTGGCTTCAGAGAGCTGCTTGATTGTCATAGCTGTTTTAGGAGATACATGGAATGCTTTATTAGCAGCAAGGAAGGAAGGAAGATATACTCATGTTGCATCCATAGGTGCTATGTTGCATTTTTTGTACCGTTTTAGAAAGCAAATGGCTGAGAAACTAACTAGATAGGCAGGCAGGCAGGCAGATAAAAGGATTTTGTGTGTAAACCAAACAAATTTTCTGTCTATCTTTAAGCAACTGACAGCCAAAATCTCCCAGTATCAGAATAGGCTGGAATTTCAAATGGCTTAGGATGCCATTTATAGATGCCTAATATTTTCACTTGTGCACTTAAGGACTGAACTTTGATGATGTCTTCATAATTGGCATAAACTAGCAGTATACCAATAACTATCTTGAATCCATGAAAAGGTTTTGACTGCTGTCAGAGATGTTTGATTGCTTAATCCAATTGAACATCTATGTCATCCATTGATTATACAATTTTTTGATTGGCTAGGATTGCTCCAGTAACTAAACTAGAAAAAAATTAAAATATAAACAAAATAAAAATTGCAATATATTAAAAACCCATGCCAAAAAAATAGAAGAAGGGTAAAATCCAGTTTTCAATTAAAAGAGAGGGGACAGGGAAAACAATGTGTGTGTTCTCTGGAAGTATTGCTTTAAACCTAAAAATAAAATCAGAAAAATATTTATTACAATTGTCTGTTCTTTGATTTCCCCCCCTTATCATTCAGTTCCACTAGATGTCACTCTTGTCTTTAAATTCTTACTTTGGCTTCATGTCCCAACATTATTCTATGTATACATATATATATCAACCAAATTGCTCAGCTTCTAGGCAGATTATATATCACATTTATTATATATTATATATATATATATCTGCCTAGAAGCTGAGCAATTTGGTTGATGGGGAGAAATCTGAAAAATTATATTCTACAGGCTATCTTTGCTGTTCATGCATGCATGTAAAATGTTTATATTTTAGTGGCCAATTTTAATCTTGGTGTGTAGACTTTCATAGATATGTCAAATCCTGTTTATTTTTTTCAGCTGCTGCCAGATTTTTATTGCTTCTATATTTGTTTCCAATTGATTTTATACAAATAAAGAATGATGATGGGAAAGTCTTAGCATCTTACTAAATAGAGAAAACATCTTACAAGTGCTATTACATTTGCTGCTCTCTACAACTTGCATTTTAACAACAAATTATTAGGACTAGAATCATAGAATTCTAGGGCTTAGAGGACTTCTAATCCAACTTCCTGCCCAAGGCAGGAGACTAGACTATTAGATTACTACACTTATGAAACAGTAATTTGTAAACTGTAACTGTTTATTAAATGTCATATGAGGAGGCACTACCTGGCTAATCTTGATTGAACCCCCCCCCCCCCCAATAATCAATGTTGAAGCTGGTAAAATCACTAGCTGTCAAGAAAATTATATGGATGTATCTATGTAATCATAAGAGCTGTGCTTAAGAGTTTCTGATGACCATTTTGTTGTATAGGTTTTCATTGTCTTTATATCTATCCAATATATGAAGAAAGAACAGGATAAATGAAAACACATATTTTTATGAATAATATTGCCCAATCCAAGCTATCAAGAAAATGTGCATAGGATTTCAGCTCTGTTCTAGTTCTCATTCTTTCACTCTACATAATTAATTAAAAGTGAAACATCTTGCATTTTAGATTCCCCCTTTTCACGAAAGAAGAGACAATCCAATTCAGTAAAGGTTAACATTCTAAACTATTTAGCATTATGAAAATAAGCCTGAATGATTTAGATTTTATCATCATTCTATATTGTTCTCTCTTTTCTCATCTTCTGATACAGCACAAGAAGATTCAGAATTTCTGCTTCTATTTCAGATTAATTACCTTTTAGTCTGTTATGTTAGTCTTAACCATGGCAATTAGAAATAAACCAGCCCTATAAATTATTATTTAAATTTACTTTATTTTCTCTAAGCATAATTCAGATTACTAATTATTGTTTGTGCTCTAGTGACTGTCAAACTGGTTTATCTGTAATATCACCAGAAGTTTCCTAGATCTTCCTTGGTAGTACTTGAGATGAGGCATAAGCCCTACATCTGCGAAAGTTTATTCTCCTGTGTTATGTCTGATCAAGGCCAGTATGATTATATAAGATAATTTAAACAATGTTACTCATTTTTTATTATCTTCTGTTTGCTGATTAACTGGGTTAACTTCTGTTGTTAAATGCAACAAAAAAATTTGGGGGGGGGGGTTAATTATAAACATGGAGATACCTTGACTTTCTTTTTACAACACATGCCTTCTTAATATTAATTGAGTTATTTCATTTTTCTTTTCAAACATTCAAGATTTATTTTGGAAGAAATATTTGAACCACATCACTAATTTTTGGCAATTGCAATTAAAGAGGAATATGAGGGTTGGAAAAATGATTGTATCCTAATCACATTGCTCAGAAAGAACCAGTGGGCAGAAACATCATAGTCCTTGATTTATTACTGTAATTGAAGCCAGAATTATGGTCATAAGTTGTGCCAGTCATTAATGGGATCACCACAATTACCACACCCATTTGTATGACTTTTTTGCAGCAGTCATTAAATGAATACCATGGTTCATGAATGAACACTGCAGTTGTTGTTTTGTTTGTAAATTTTATTTGAGTTTTCACAAAGAGAAAAAAAATACAAATAAAAGATCTTTTTTGAAAGCAGCATAATCCCGGGTTACATTTCTTCGTACAGACACAAATTCAGGTTCATGCTCATTTTTATATTCTATTCCATATCTTATTATTATTTTACATTTTCTGCATAGCTTCTCCCCTTTTTTAATTTTCTCAATTTTATTTTAATTATCTCATCTCAATTCAAATCATTGTATTTATATTTTTTGTCTGTCCTGTTTCAATTATCTATTATCTTTTCTCATTAAACAAAATTTCTCCTGTAGTTACTGATTGGAGTATGATGCCTTTATATCTTTTCCCTAAAGTTGTAACATTCAATATAATACATAACTTCCATTCGGATTCTGCTTAGTACATTCTTAAAATACACACTGTATTCTTAAAAAAAGAAAAAAAAATTATAAATGTATATAATTAAAACAACATTCCATTCCAATTCTATCATTAATATTAATATTCATTAAAGTCTTAACATCTTTAACATTACTTTTCAATTAAATAGCATACTTCTATGGGAACAATTATAAGCTTTCCATAGTTAATTCCCCCCCCTTCACTTATATTTTATAAAACATTAACTAATTAAAATGTTCCCGTTCCTTCCTAATTCAATTTTCTCATTTATTATATTCACTTATTTTATTCACAAACATTTCACTAAATTACACTAACTATTTTATCCCTCATTTTAATCATACGTTGTTTCCAATTTTCTAAAATTATTTCTATTACTAATATAACAATACAATCGTATGTACCTTTACAGAATCCCTTTTTCAGTTAGATTTTCACCCATTATCTCTAAATAGGTCCTGTTTCTCTATATCTTGCTCCGGTCCGTTGTAACTTCTTTTCCTTTCCTTCTTCCCTCTCTTCTTCTCTCTCCCCTTTTTACCCCCTTGTCTCTCTACCTCTATTTCTCTCTTCTGTATTCCCCTTTTCTGTTGCTTTCCAGTATTATACTTATTTTTCGAATTATTTTTCTTTTCTTTGTTTTTTTAAGTCTTAAATTCTCCATTCTCTTTCCCCCCTTTCCTTTTTCTTCCCCACATAGAATTACTTGTTCATTAAAGATGGCTTCTTCTTTGTCCCAGTCTTCTTGTTTTGCAGAGGTTTCTTGTTTCTCATAGTTCCAAATCTCCATTTCTAAGAATTGAAAGATGAAGCCAAAAGAACCCTTCCCTTCTTGTGCATCTTCTTTGTACTTTTTAAGTTCCATTTTCAATTCATCCAGAAGTGGTTCCATTGTATAAATTTTTAAACAACCACCCAATTGATTTTAGTCATTCAAATATAATAACCAAAAATCCAAAGATCACCAAATAATCCAAATGCATACAAACTTTCTTTTTTGCACTTTTTTTCACTTTCTCTTCCTGGGGTTACTATTTAGTTGCAAAGTTTCAGTTAAAATGTATCTTTTAGAAGTCTTGTTGAAGTTTTACTTTTAGATTCTTTTTAATTCCAGGCAGTCTCCTCCCTCTTCCAGATCCTGCCCTTATTCTTTTTCTCTCCCTTCCTGCTTATGAAAAAGAAAGTTTTTAATGTCCAGAAATCTTTATTATGCCTTTGGTATTTTGTTTTATTTTCAGCTTAATTGCCTATTGATGTCAAAGCAGATTTTTCCGATTTCTTATTTAAGTCTCTTAGTTGTCAGTATAGGGAAGGAGAGAGAAGAAGAAGAAAAAGCCAAACCTTTCCCTTTTCAATTTCCTTCACTGCTTCCGACTCTTCTTTGGGAGCGATGTTATTTTTTGTAAGTTAAAATTCCAGGGTACCTTGGTTGTTGCTTTTACAATTTAACCCGGCCAGCCAAAACTTTCACTTCTTATCTTCCTCCTGCACATTCTTTTCCGGTCGAGTTCTTCTTTGTGGTGGCCATTTCTGACCACCGCTGCAACCGCCTTCGGGAAAAGGAGTAATGGCCAGCTGAGGAGGAGAGATGCGGCTCTCCTCGACCCTGCTGGTGGTCTCCCTCCTCTTCACCACCTCTAAGGGGTGGCTTAGCCCCGAACCCAGCCGGCTCGGGGTGCTCCAGCGGCGAGCCCAGACAGAAACCGCGCACGATCGCGGATTTCTGTCTGTCGCCGAACCCCTTCAAACCGGAAGTCAACACTGCAGTTGTTAAAAAGAGTCCAATGGGCAGTTTT